AGTCTTTATTTCCTCCAGTAGTAACCGAAGATTACAAACAAAAACATCATATTATTACAACACGTACATGAATATTAACAATTGGATGTTTAGAAATATATGTACAGAAATTTATGACATGAAGAGAATCATTCTGTATAGCAGTTCACAAGGTGAGGTTTCAGGTCATATACATACAAAGAAAAGCGTAACAGTATGGTTTCCCATAGTGTTGAATCTATATAGTTATAAAAGTCGTTTTCTGCTCCGAAGAGAAATGACAACATATCTTGTTCACCTTGCATTTCAAATATTACGTAAGTTTCAACATCAAGTTTATCAATTAAGTAATCATTAATAATTAAGTATGTGGAAATCATAGTCAAATGTTTGTTTATTACAAAGAGCACACTCTTTTGAGATTTTACCCCTTGATAACACAGCACCAAAAACCGGATAGTAAACCATTGAAATATACGTAAATACAGTAGGAAATACATGCCATGACCGGGTTTACGTATGTTTTCAGATATTTCCTAACTTCGGGCATATATTTCATATGAATCTATATCTTTGAAACATATGCTCATCGTACATTTTCGTATGCACAAGCACCTCGTTCATGTATGCCCTGACCGGATTGTCAGGGATTTCCAAATATGAATTGCAAAACAGATATCCCGGTAAATACATGATCATATAGTATTTCCAATGCATTCCTTTGAATTTCAGTGGGTGCTGAAATTTCCGATTTCGTTCTAAGTTTACTCGGGTTGGAAACATGTGAATTTACTTAGGTGGGGAAACACATGTAAATTTTCAAATTTGCAAATGTTTACACACCTTAGATATTTATGTATCATACCGGATTTCAGGGGTATGTATATGAATGGTTCATACACCATCATGTTACCTGAATTCAAGCAAGATGATCATATGTTTCCATCATGTGAATTACTTGGCTCATGTAATTTCACTTTCACATTTTTTAGTACGTTTGAAATCAACGTTCACATGACCTCAATATTCTTATCACCAAAGAGCCTGACAAAGAAAGGTATTACGCAAGCTAACACGCCTTATTAAGCTGCACTCGCTCTTGCTACCAGTATCAGTTACGCCTTGTCTGTGGTGTTGGCAAACCTTGTGAGGTGCATGTTTCGAGGGATGAAAGGTTCAGTGGTGAACAAAGGGCGATGCGTTGTCCCTTTGTCCTAGCAAGTGTCCCTAGCTGCCCCAAAGAATAGCACTTTATCTCTTGGAGCACAATCAAATATGCTACACGAACCAACTCGTAATTTCTTAAGTCTGTTCAGCTCGCGCATCACTACTGTACAATAATTGTGGCAGTACATAATTGGAATATTATTGCACTTGCTGTAATAACGCCATATATAAACTTTAAAGTTTGTTTCACTAACGCAAAAGTATACAATAAGAAACAATGCCATATCAAATTATATATTCTGTGAGACATGAAATGAAAAATTGTTTTTATCGAGTAGCGATTATGACCGGATAGCACAGGCGGGTGCGTTCTCTGAGTATATCATAGACATGTTGGATCTCCGTGCCTTTTGTGAAATTCGTCTATATTGTCCTGTTTAAATTGACGATCCATAACTCAGATTGCAAGTAAATATCACGTAATTAATTGTGATGTCGCATTGCTGTAAATTTCCCTGTCGAAGAAGTCCTTCTCACAAGATGTATATTCCCTCGTTTGGAGAAGATCTATGGCTATTACGCCCCAGTGTTGCTAAACATCTTATAGGCCTTTAGTCTGACACAGACGCGGACATCGCATGTTCAGGTTCTGATCTGACAGGGGCTGAAAATATCATTCCGACATGAATACAATATCTCAGTGTTTTCCTAAGTAAGTGAGAGGCTTTCTACAACATTGGAAATAACTGTATCGTTGTCCTTCTGATATTCCCCGAACGAAAGCTCTACCCATTTAGGGTACAATGTGTAAGTTACAGAATTGTAGGAATAGTCTTAAGACTTTTCTACTTTGACGAAGATTCTTCGAACTTGTAACAGTCGTTTGAGAAGATCAAAAGAGAAAAGGGTAGTGCGCGATGTATCTGACGGACGTATATGGAGAACTTTCGAAGAACTTTATAAATACAAAAATAGAAATACCGGTTATGTTTAAAACGCACCTTCAATCTGATAGCCAGAGGGATTATTGTGAAAGATCGCAGTATGTATCATCATAAACGGGCCAAGATAAAAGTACATGTCATTCATCTCCACATTATATCCCTTTTATAGACACGGGACATCGTTGTTACAGGTAGGGCAAACACTTTCTTCTAAAGTATCTGCCGGTTTCACGCTACATACATGTGTTCAGATTATCGAGAAAACTAGCGACGCAAGTTCTCCTCCATCACACCAGAGACCACATAATCTATCATATGGCCTTTGATCACACATATAATTGTATAGATACCGAGTGTTTATTGATAGCGATGAAGCAACTTCTCAAAATTTACAGCCGACAGTATCATCTGCATTACTCTCTTACATAAGGTGAATATCACAGGGTTGTCATGGTAACGATAATTTGGCATACTATTTATTGTGTTATTCTTTAATCTGTGATTAGAATTTAAATCAGTTTTGACGTGAGCATGTTAAGAAAAGAGAAGCTGTAAAACAGAAATGTATTGTGATCGAACCTATAGGCCTTTGTAAAGCGAGTTTCAAGCCACCTACATAAAAACCTGTTTTCATGATAAGTATCTGCTAATCCGTGGCACGATTCCGACCATATCATGGGCATGTGTTTGCGAATCATAATCAAATAGTGATGTTACAAGCAGTCCATGCCGCGTCAACAACACATGCAAACAGGGGCGTAGCTACCATTATAAAAAACAGCTCGAGCATTCACATCTTTGCTAAAAATAATTTACAGTAAATTACAGTAAACAGGTTATTCTTCATATCATAACTTTCAGTGATGATTGTGTTTCCATCGACATGTATGAGGATGTTTTGTTGCAGTCATGATTATATGTGAATAATCACTGAAATGCAGTTTTTTATTTATCATTTGTTTATCAATTATTTTAGAAAAAACACCAAATACTCGATGTATGGTATTGTATCAATGCAGCTGACATGTATACAATATGTCCAAACATATTTGTATATGAAATCACACTTGAATTTCCATGGAGGTAAGACTTCCGTCCGTAACCCCCAAAACACGTTAAAACTCATCCTTATCGGATGAGGAATATATATTTAGGTGATATGATTTGACTAGAATGAAATTTAAGGGGGGGGGATACAAGCGGAAGTCTTTCCACCATATTTTGAAGCTATTGAAATCATCAAACGTCAAACGATAACTCTTCAGGTCTCATAAAAAATGAAATTTGGGCAAGCCCTCAATACCACCTAAATATAAGGCTTTGCAGCCCATATTGCTTACACGAAAAAAATGGCTTGCTACGTGCCTGGCAAACGCACGAGAATTGCAATACGGGCCTCTAACCACTGATTCTACCAACCAGTCTCGTGCCGAAGGTCACATGAGATGGCAAGTGCGCATGCGCTAGTCAGAGCACTCGCGACTCGCGCTAATGGTCAGACGCATTTGAGCGAGCTCGTATTTGGAAAAGACCTGAGGCGTCTTTATATTTTGATTCAAATACTCACGTATTTGAGGCGAGCCTATTTATGACCCGAGGTGTCATAACAAAGCTTTGAAGAATCGTGTGTACATTCAGGGAAGTTTTTCGTTCGAAATCAGTTTCATGAACATGGCTGACGCCATGCTCTCGTCCCCACGTGGGAAGAAAAGCGCCAAATCTGACGAGAAATCGAAGAGTAAAGTTGACTCGCAAAAATCAACAAAATCTACGCCTTCAAAGGCGTCTACCTCAAAACAATCTAAAGACGATTCACTCTCCGTGTCACTTGACACGACAATGATGGCCATGTTGTCGGAAATGAAGAAAATGAACTCTGGTTTGAGCCAGCTCAGCGGAAACATGGAAAATAATTTCACTAAACTGAGTGAGGGTCTTTATGACAACAACTGTCGTGACGAAGTTGAATATTATGAGGAGGACGATGGTTACGGTCTAGATTCGGGACAATTACCTGTCAACTCTTCCACGCAAGACCCTGTTGCGGCTTTGCTTGACAAACACAATGACGATGTTGATTCCGACAAAATGTGCGGTGAAAATAGTGATGTCAATGGCATTGATCAGCTGAAAGAAAGTCTGGGTTTAGCTGCAGAGAAAGGGGATAATATCCCAGAATACCTTGCTGACATTGTGTCCTCTTTATTCGATCTGCAACCAAACAAGGAAGTAAAAAATGAATCCACCGTGAATGAGCGAATGAAAACTCACTTGAAGCCGGCGAATTGCCCGCAACTGCAAGTTCCTGAACTCAATAAACTGATATGGGACAACGTTTCGGGTCACGCACGTGCGGTTGACACAAAAATGCAGAAAATACAAAACGGTGTTGTCAAAAGTTCAACGGCTGCGGTCCGTGCGATGGAATTGCTGTTTACAAACAAATCAGAGCTTCCTAAAGCCCACTTCGAGAAGATGCTTACCTTACTCGGGGACGTGTTGAACATTATGGGATATACCAACTTACTTACAGTTCAGAAACGCAAAGAGTTTTTGCGATTTGACATTGCGGCGGAATATAGAGCGCTTTGCTCGCCCGCATCATGCAGCACACCCGAACTACTGTTTGGTGACGAAGTTGTGAAAAATCTCAAAGATCTCGGTGTCGCACATCGTCTTGGTGCCAGAGCCGGAAGATTTCCGAGGAGACGTGGGACCCGTGGTTTCTATCGCAATCGACCCTATAACTTCGGTTTTCGGGGACGAGGTAGAGGTTTTGGACGGTCACAGAGCTATGATAGTTTCCCTCAGGACGCCTCCCAGACAAACTCTTTTTTAGAGAACGGACCGAACCAGTTCAATTCGTTCCGGTTCAAGAAACACTTTCAAAAAAGAGGGAGGGGGAAGTAGATGACCCCAGCGAGCTGGAGGATAGAGCCACTCAGGTAGGTGAGTGTACCTCGGATATGCCAGATATTGATAAGAATAACACAAATATGGCCGGTAGTTTGAAACATTGTACCCATGAATGGGCTAAACTGACAAGTGATAAGATAATTTTACAGTTTGTATCGGGGGTAAAACTGGAATTTATTGATAATGAATTACCAGTGCAAAAATCAGAACCAAAACCAATACAATTCAGTAAGAAAGAAAGAAAGTTTGTCTCCGAACAAATAAAACAATTTCTTGATCGTAATGTTATTGAAAAAGTTCACAGTGAAACTGGGCAATTTGTTTCAAATATATTTCTGAGAGACAAGAGAGATGGTTCTTTTAGAATGATATTGAATCTTAAAGAATTGAACAAACATGTACAATACCATCATTTCAAAATGGATTCACTGGAAACAGCCTTGTCACTTGTCACGAAAGAGACATACATGGTATCTGTTGATTTACAGGATGCATATTACTCTGTGAACATACACAACTCACACAGAAAATATTTGAGATTTAGATTCAATGGGAATTTGTATCAATTTACCTGTCTGCCAAATGGTCTGGCATCGGCCCCTCGTATCTTTACAAAACTGACAAAAGTAGTTTATTCATCCCTGAGACAGAAAGGCATAAATTGCCTAGGTTATATAGATGACAGTTTGATTTCAGACGAAAATAAATCACTTTGTAGAGAAATGGTTTCAGTGCCATCACATTGTTCACAAAACTTGGGTTCACAGTGAATGTTAACAAATCTCAACTTACACCCTGTCAAAAGATCAAGTTTCTAGGATTTACCATTGACTCTGTCAGAATGAAGGTAATCATGGATGATGAGAAGGCAAGCACTTTGGTGTTTTTAGGACATAAGCTCCTACATGACAAGAAACTTACAATTAGAGAATTGGCAGTTTTCATTGGGAAGGTGATATCTACGTTTCCTGCGGTCGAATATGGAAAATTAAATTACAGAGAACTTGAGAAAAATAAAGTAAGAGCTTTGCGACAGAATGATTGGAATTTTGATACATTGGTGACACTGTCAGTTGCTAGTAAGGAACAAATCCAGTGGTGGATTAAAACTATCCAGGGTTCACAAAAAGACATTGTAATGTTATTACCAAGTGTCACATTGCAGACAGATGCAAGCAAAGAAGGCTGGGGTGCCTGTTGCAATGGTGCCACCACTAATGGTAGATGGACACCATCAGAAAGTCAAAATCACATAAATGTGTTGGAATTGAAAGCGATTCTTTTAGCTGTTATGTCTTTCAAGAAACAGATTTCTGGGAAAGTTATTCACATCCAGTGTGATAACACTACAGCTGTCAGTTATGTAAGAGAAATGGGTGGTATGGTATCACCTGAGTGTGATAAAGTTGCAAGGGAAATAGTCCAGCAATGCATTGATAATCATGTCAAGATTGTCATATCTCATCTTGCTGGTGTTGAAAATGTGAAAGCAGATAATGCTTCTAGAAGGTTTTCAGACAGGACTGAGTGGTCCCTTGAAATGTCAGTGTTTGAAAAGATTATGTCTATTGATACAGTTGTGCCCAAAATAGATTTGTTTGCTACAAGATTGAACAATAAACTCCCTAGATATATATCATGGCATCCAGACCCTGGAGCAATTCATGTTGATGCATTTACGTTCAACTGGCAATCTGAAGATTTCTATTGTTTTCCACCTTTCTGTCTCTTATCACGTTGCATTCAGAAAGTCATTGCTGATAATGCTACTGGTATCATTGTAGCCCCAGTATGGCCAACGCAGGTTTGGTTTTCTCATGTACTGCACCTTTTGTTTGACAGACCCAGGATGATCCCCAGGGGAAACCAAGCCCTATACCTCCCATGGAGTCGGGACACTCATCCACAGTTGAATCAGATGATTCTAGGAGTTTTCCCAGTCTCAGGAAATCCTGGGCAAGAGAGAGGAATATCTCCGCAAGTTGCCGACGTTATGTTGCAGTCCTGGCGAGGAAGTACTCGCAAACAGTACAAGACGTACTGGGACAGATGGATTAAGTTTTGTTCTAGGAAACAAGTTGATTCAGTTTCTCCCCCTATAGAAATGGTGTTGGAATTTCTGTATGAACTGTACTCAGAAGGTTTGAGTTATAGCAGCCTTAATACAGCCAGAAGTGCTCTATCTGTGCTGATTGTTTCTACTGCTGTACCGGTGGGAGAACACCCACTAGTGAAGAGGTTTATGAAGGGCGTATACCAAGCTCGTCCCGTTACCTCTAGATATTCGGACATATGGGATGCTAATGTTGTATTGGACTACTTGAGAAAGTTGACGCCTGTGCGTAAGCTCTCATTAGTGAATTTGTCAATCAAACTAGTATTACTGTTTTCGTTAACTACCGCCCAGAGAGGGCAAACATTGCATTTATTTGATATTGATCATATGGACATCAGAAACAAGTGTTCAAGAGTGACATTTTATTTGCAAGAACATATTAAACAGTCAAGATGTGGGAAAGCGTTTCCCAAAGTGGATGTACATGCTTATGCCCCCGATAGGAGCATTTGTCCTATCACATCTCTCAATGAGTACATTGCTAGAACTGGAAAGTTGAGAGGCTCAGAAACAAGACTTTTGATTAGTACAATCAAGCCTCATACTCGAGTTTCCCGAGATACTGTCAGTAGATGGATTAAACTTGGTCTTAGTCGTGCTGGTATAAACACAAATAGGTTTAAAGCACATAGTACAAGATCAGCTTCAGTGTCTGCTGCAATGAGGTCAAGCGTACCTGTTTCAGACATTCTACAGAGAGCTGGTTGGTCATCAGCTAAGACATTTGCCAAATATTACAATAAACCTTTGGCTAAGTGCAGTTCAGAGAATTTCTCACAGGCTATTCTGTCTAGCAAGAACCAGTAAGTGAACTGGTCTCACAGTAGTATGACTTGACTTTGAGTGATGTTACCATAAGTTGTGGGTTGGAACAATTGTCAAGGGACAATGTCTTATGTGGTATTGAGCTAAACCTTTGGCTTACTCTAATAAATGTGTCTTTTCATCAGATCTTGGTCGATCTTGTTTTATTGGTTCACTTAAGGCCTGGACACGATATTGCTTTGAAGTCTCATGTGACCTTCGGCACGAGACTGGTTGGTAGAATGGAAAGGTTAAACGAGACTTACCTTGGTAAAGTTGAAGTTTGACCTACATTCTGCCAACCAGTCTGGAGTGCCGAAGAGGGGTCACATGCCCGTCCCTGGGGACCCTCCCCTTCATGTGACCCCTGGCACTCCAGATATCGTGGCCTCAAGTGTGTTAAAGTCTGACTAGCGCATGCGCACTTGCCATCTCATGTGACCCCTCTTCGGCACTCCAGACTGGTTGGCAGAATGTAGGTCAAACTTCAACTTTACCAAGGTAAGTCTCGTTTAACCTTTCCATTCTCCGTGACCTGGAGACACATGTGATTGAGCGTGTGTTGGGACGTCGTCTGTCATACAGACCCTGAAGCAAATATATCCAAGCCCACGCAAGTCTACAAAATGTGGCAAGTCTAGATTTCCACAGCTTCAGGAGAAAGTCTCAGGGCTCCTTTTCCTTATATAATATTCTTTTTTTACTATCAACTTTTTTTCTGTAAAATATGTTCATATCAGAGACTAGTTGTTAATCTAGTTCTCACGGGTAGAAGACAAAAGACAAAATGGATACTAGTGCTGTTACATTTTTTAATTATATATAAACATTCGTCCTTGGCTCGGGATAAATGTATATTTTCCACCAAATGTACATTCGGAGGATATCGAAATCTAGGTTAAGCTAGTTGAATCATATTTACAATTAAAAGACCCAAACAATGGTGTGTTGTCCACATTTTGGTTTTCCATAGTCACAGAACGATATTTTCTCCCCTTCCGTCTCTAGGAAAACTCACTGCAGGGTTCGGGTTATGGAGAGCCATACCGATCACCCACAGCTGGCGGGACCAACATCTCCAGTAACATTTACATCTGCCAACGCTTAATTTGCAAGTGGTGGGGCAATAAGCTAATGAGGCTAAGGGTCCTGTACCATGTTTGTGAAATATCTGTGATGCCTTATATGAAGTCTATCATCTAAGCAAGTCTAGCTATGTATGGCGTTAAGTCACTGCTTGAAGAAAGGCTCCTTTAGAATTTTATCTGGTCAATATTAGTATTTCCATCATATCGGAAAATACATAGACTAACGCTTAGTGTCTGAATATATATAATTTTGATAGTAACAAACAAGCCCATTTGAATTGAGCCCCAGGGAGATTCAGTCCGGCTAGCCATGGCTGCAGTTAGCTATAGATATGTTTACTTTGTAACCCGACCCCCAAAGTGAGTTAGGGTTCTTGCAGATGTTAACAGACCCTGGACCTGAGGAGATCTAGACTTGCTTCATTTAAGGCTTTAGCATTGCAGAGAGGGCTTGGCAGTAGGGGAAATAATGTGGTTCAGGGACTGTGAGACAGACTAAACAGTAAGGAAAATAATGTGGTTCAGGGACTGTGAGACAGACTATAAAATGCATGGCAACCTACACTTCATTGTGACTATCATTTTAAAACACAAGGGTTATTTCCTTTGCGTTAACTGACAGGCTTTAGGTGTCAAATTATTTGGAACTCCAACCAAAGGTTATGGTCTGCTGTCTGGAAATATGGCCTTTTTGTAATGCCATAATGATAAGTGATTGTTGTACATATGATGTTTTTGAAGGATAATATCAGCGTACTAATACTTTGCACGTGTTTCCCCCCACTCTTTCCATACCCGTAAAAGTTAACTTTCCAATATATGCCTGTAAGAAAATACTGTAAAGTAATGGGATGGCTGAATTTGGCCACCTGAGGCAGTGACCACAGCACTCTGGTTATACTGCATTGGGAGAGGACAGAGCTTGGCAAGATGCCAATAAATATGCTTGTCATTTAAACCTTTATCTGATATTTGTGGAATGTGATTTTATAATTGAAGATGCTTCCTGCACCTGTAGCCCCAATATAGATGTTGTTAGTCTGTGAATCTTCCAAATTACTTCGTCCCTTTCTTTCAATTGAAATTAAGATCTTTGCCTTTTATCAAAATAATATATTTTCAGTCTTAATGTGCCTTTGTCGGGAATCAAACACCGGTTTTTAACCTGACAGGCGAACGCTTTAACCACGAGCATACCCCATCATTCCTTGATACTGTTGGTACATTTATTATACATTCAAAGATTGAACCCAGTTTTGTCACCATATATCCTTCAGTTTTATGTTAGTGACATGATCTGCACACTGATAATTTAAAAGTGGAATATAAATAATGATTGATTGCGATCTTTATCCAATTTAGTTTTCCATTGATCTAGTAATTTTCAGTTTCTGTTTCCACGAAATTCTGTACGCAGGTACTTTTAACAGTTTCACCCAATAACAGTAACGCATACAGATAATACGTTTCGGTACTTTGATAGATTAATAAGTACATATTATATTCTATGATATTGAGATACCAAAATGATTAACATGATTATATAATGTATAACAAATTAGACGGCGAAAAGCAAAAGCAAAAAAGAAAACCACCGCCACCACCCCACCCTAAGCCTACCCCATGCCTACCCCTCTCCCTCGCACACACACACACTCCCTAACATACATATCACTCTGGCCCATAGACTCGATATTTGAACCTTTTAAACAGACACCATGTGTATGTCAAGAAAGACACGCACGTTATTAGTGGTGCTCAGTCATGGGTATCACTTCACCATGTGTTACTAATTATCTCAGTACATTATGGCGTGGTCGGACGCGCTAACGAACCCTATGTGACAGTTACATTACAGCACCATTGAAATACATGTTAAAGTAGTGCTAATCTTGTAACACTATACTTACTCATTTCCAACCATTTACGCATGTACAAAATATATGACAAACCTAACCCTGGTCATACGAGATTTCAAGGGTATTGAAATGCATGTCCTACAATCACAGCATTTACATATGTTACACATGTTAGGAAACACATGGAAACAATGGCCAGATTTACACACCTGTGAAATACATGTAAATACCGAGTCGAATGTATGTTTATTTTAACACCCTTTTAAACTTGTGTAAATCTGACGGCCAGATGATACGTAGATTTCAAACGTTGTTCATATGGCCGCCGGATGAAACGAGTATTTCCTGACGTTAGTAAATTTGGGTAATACAGTCATTTTGTGTGGTGTAATATTTTGACACAAAATTGCAAGGAAGATTTATAATTAGGGTGTTTATATGCCAGTTGCCAGAAAGTATGATAAGAGAGTGTAGTATGAGTTGTTGCGTAAAATGACATGTTTGAACGATAGCGAGTTTGTGATCGCCATAATTGTTCTTCATAACTATGTACAGTAGCATTTACAATTCTTCTCCATACCCGTTTTGGAGGAAATATGCCTTGAGCAATATAATTGTCAACAAATGTATTTAGATTATACTTTTCAGATATTGATAAAAGATCATCACAGATGTTGTTAGATTTTACTGAAGTTGTAAAAGCAGCACAAAAGATATGTTTTTGCAAAGTTGTTACACTCAGTGTTACATAGTCGCCCAAGAAGTAGTAGTTTAGATTTATCGATATACCCAGTTAGTGACCATAATCCCAAATTTGCAATGGTAGATATTGATGATGACCTCTTATCAAGACCTTGCACAAGACGAGCAAAGTATCTTTATGTTTGTTCAAAGGTGTCAGCCTGTTGGACTTTGATGTTTGGTAATACTTCACAGCCATAGAGACTAGTTTTAAGAATCATTCTGAGCCATATTTTAACACAAGTGATTGGATGTAGGCCAGAATCATTCAGTCCAAAAGTGAGTTTACATTCTGTCTTGCTTTCTGACAATACTTTTCACTTCTAGTTTTTGTTGAGAGGTTACTTGTAAAGAGTACACCCCCATATACGGTAGATTCTGATAAGGGAATTGGGATGTTACCAATGCTACAGTGGACGTTTACATCATAGCCGTTTCTTTTGCTAAAAACGATGATGGTACTTTTTGATGGGTTGTATGTTAGACGCCATTTAGAAGCGTATGAAGAGACAATATCCAGTGATACCTGTAGGCCATTAGGGGATGTGCTTATGAATGTAGTATCGTCAGCAAGCAAGACAGTTGGAACGTCCATACCAAAGACACGGATACCACAGCCAGCTTCTCTTAAAGATGTAATTAGGTCATTAATAAAAATGAGAAAGAACCAAGAGGATAGAACCCTCCCTTGTCCAACACCTTGTTTGACCGAGTACATATCTGACCTCTCGCCATGGTATGCAACAAATGATTGGCTATTGGTGTAACAGTGATGTAACAGTTTCCATGTATCACTTCTAATACCAAGTTCATAAAGCTTATAGAATAAACCATCATGCCAAATTCTGTCGAATGCTTTTGCATTGTCGAGAAAGGCTGTAAAGACAGGAGAATCTCTATGGTTATAGTTTTGTATACTCTCCATGAGAGTAAACACAGACATTATGGCTCCATGCTCTTTTCGAAATCCAAATTGTAACTTATCAGGAAAGTCCGGATTTGATTTAAGCAATTTATTTTCAATTCGTTTGAGCAAGAGCAAGTTGTTAGTGTGATACCTCTGTAGTTTTGAGGGTCGGTTTTATCATTTTTACCTTTGTATATTGATATTACCATTCCAATCCTATATTCGTATGGGACATATTGAGATTCAATCATATGATTGAATAGTTTACATACATAATTAATGAATACATCACCTGCATATATGATATGCTCGTTTGTAATTTTGTCGGGACCTGGGGATTTGTTTTTGCTAAGAGACTTAACAGCATCCTTTACCTCATCAAATAGAAAGTCTCTTTCTAGTTCCTCATCATAATCCTCAGTGCTGCTATTGTCAATTCCTTAACCAATTGAGATATGTGATTTTTGAAATCATCATCAAATGTTTTTGACTCATGTGGTTGAGCTAGGTCGGTATAGTATTTGCCCCATATTTTACATACTTAAGAGGGCGTTGAGCCGCTCTCGCCTCCGTAATCAAGTGTAGATACATTTGTAACTACTGACCATTGCTTTCGGACAGTTTTGTAGAAAGTGTTTACGTCCAATTCAGCAGATAATTCAATTTCTTTTAACATTTTTTTCATCGCCAGGCTTTAAATAGCATGATTTGAGTCATCTTAATTTTGGTCAAATTTGCTGATAATCTCCAGCAACAGTTTTTACTGTAGGGATCATGTTAATCTTCTGGTCTGGCGTAAATCCAGCTCATGGTCCTATCGGGAAATCTGTCTTCGGTTGTTGGCGATCAATAGTAATCCGCCCGGAGACATCTTTGTACAACGCATAACTGTTGATTGGATTGTTTTCAAATTTGGGGACCACCATCATTGTGTGACGGAGAGTTGCAGTGCCAATTGTAATGATCTTTTAATATTTTTAGGAATTACAGAAATTTACCATTTTGAACTTTGAATAGTTACTTCAACCAATAACTTAAAAACTGTTGGTTTGATTGTTTTTAATTTGGAAAGTAGCTTCTTTACCTAAAGTAGAAGAACATTGCTAAGTTTGGTTCCGATTTTCTAGTTTTCCTTGGCTTGTTTATCTTGTTGATTTCCAGCTCTCGTCAAACCGTGGAATTTTCATACCGTCCTGAGAGGATAATGATGGAGCCAAGCTTTGCTAGAATGCTCGAGAACTGTATAAGAGCTATATAAAGGCTGGTTGTTGAGTTGTGCGGACAGGACTTATTACATGACTGCCATCATTAATCTGATCAACGTTTGAAGACCGACCGTTCTTGTCTATTCAACTGCTGTCATTGTAAACAACCTTCAATCAGTATATCTGTTCTCACTGTAAATGTCAAGACACTGGTGAGTAAAATTTTGATATTTGTTACCCAATATTTTAGATTTGTGACTCAATTGCATTGTACTAGAAATCTGTATTGTCATTCATTGTAGCTTGCTCATTGTTTGTTCAATATATTATTGAATATTTATTTTAGACTTGTCTGTTTTCTATTTTGCTAGTTCAGTGGGGACTGTTAAACCTTTTGTCACAGCAAATTATTTACCGTAACAAAAATGGGGGCTCGTCCAGGATAGAATTCATTTGACATTTGAGACCTTTTGTAAAGTTTATTTCACAATTTTCTGCAATTTTGCAACAAGTTAATTGTGCAACCAGCAAAATGGTGTTTAAATTTGGAAAGTTTCTTAAGTCCCCTGACCCTGAGACAGTCAATGAATTGCGCAAATCAGATTTATTGCAAATTTCGTCACATTTTAAACTTGAGGCCAAACCTGCTATCAGGAAAGTTCAGATTTTGAAAACTGTGTTAAATCACTATATTGATGAGGGAGTTTTGGGACATGAAGTTTTGGAAATGGTTCAAGAAGAATGTTCAGACCAATTGGAAATGAAAAAAACTTGAAGTTCAGTTACAAATTCAAAGAGAAAAAGTGGAAATTTTTCACACTTCTAAGTTTTGATTTTCTATCGGAGAAAAGGTTTTAGATATAAAATAAAAATAAATGTATAAATAAAATCCGACCCATGTTTTTATAAAAGGTGATGTGGCCTTAGCTTGGTGACAATATTTCGTTTTAAACTGTATTATTCCCAATTATGTTCAATAGTTTCACGGTGTGCCTGATACCCTGACTATTTCGTGTCTCGGATATCGTGTCGCCTGAAGACGAAGCCATAGCAACTAATCAACAATTAATGCATCCAAACAATATACTTCAATATTCAATAACTACACCTCGTCGAGCGACCAAATAAGACGGAAGCAATTTTTAAGAATTGAATTGAACATGGAGTAAAACTACCGTTACAAGTAGGTACAGATTATATCTATTGTCCTGTCACCTCATTCATGACGGACCAATGGCAACAATTGAAAGCATATATATTTAAGCATATATATGTTGATGTTTTCACTGCATGAACAGTCAGCCAACACAGTTCTACGCCAACACCACCTCTGTTCGATCGCTCACCTGAGATGGAAGCAATGATTTTGAAGCTAATTCTTCTGTGCTTAGTGAGCCATGCTACTGCTTTGATAAACGCTGGATTTGGATCTAAATTGTCACAATTTGACGATGTCTTCATGTCAACAAGTGTCTTGTCTCAAGTTTCGAATGTTGGCAGTGGTATACGGTGTGTACTTCTATGTCTCCAGATAAAAGCTTGCGTGTCTGTCTTTCATAGACAACAGCAATCCCTGTGTCAGTTCCATGACGTGCTGTTCATGTCGCCTGAGGACGGAGAACAAGAGACAGACACCAAGTACTACAGCTTAATAACAGGTGAGGGCCGACACCATTATTGAAATAAGGCTTAGAAGGTATTTCTTTCATTGTTTGAGTTACATTTGTATTGCCTATCCTCGACTTTATTTCGAATGTGTTTGATCGATCATAGGTTACTGTACTTTGAGTGCTTGGTTTCGAGTATCAACCTTCCTTTGCTGGCGATCTACAACGTTTTCATGTTGTAATATCCAGAATAATGGTATACAGTGAAAGCTGTCTAAACCGGCATGAAATAATCCGGTTTAGACAAGCGTGCCGGATTGTAGAGCTGACATGGTTACGTATGACTAGAACTGAACATTGTTGTAACACGTGGTTCTCTCAATTACTGCATCCATTGACAATACAATACACAAGACAAAGATTTCAGCTCATATTCACTTTTATTCATACATTTTCAAGACTTTTGAAGACAATCAGACATTTTGGTTTGTTGTAATTTTAAAAATACATGCTAGTTTTAAATATTTATCTGTGATATTTTCTAATTTTGCTGCCCTTTGTAGTCATATTTTACAATTTTACTATATTTATTTAACTATATTTATTATCAATGTATCAATGTTTTAATCTGCAATTGCAATATTTATGACATTTAACATTTCTTAGCACTTATATGGCCGATGTGACTATAAATCTTAACTTGTAGTAAAAGTACTGTAAGTCCTTATGGTTCTAGCATGATGACCTGCCTTTAGATTTTGGTGATGTACAGCCCATTTTATATTGTATTGTTGCGAAAAGAATATATGTTTTTGTGGTTACGTTTGTTTTGAGTATACATCTGTGTTTGTCTATTTAATTTGTTGTCGTTTGTCGGCATTTTCTCATTGCAACATTGAATCGAAGCCTGGTTTCAGAATAACACAATCTGGTAATTGCATCTGGTAATAGTACCAGACAATCCGGTGATCAACAGCATGAGCATCGATCTACACATCTGGGATACAATGACATGTGTCAACCAAGTCAGCGAGCCAGACCACCCGATCATCTTACGACAAGCATGGGTTACAGAAGATCAGTTCTAACCCAGATCTTCACGGGTTCGATTCCCCATATGGGTACAACGTGTGAAGCCCATTTCTGGTGTCCCCCGCCGTGATATTGCTGGAATATTGCTAAAAGCAGCGTAAAACTATCCTCACTCACTACAAACTGTATACAGGAAGTGGACATATGTGGTAGCGAGAGTGTAATGATGTGGGCCACCATCTCCCATACCGATAGAACAGACTTGGTACACGTCCAAGGCAATTAAACCGCACAAGTTTACAACGATGAAATTCTTCAGCCACGCATCCTTCCCATTATGCAACAAGCAAACACCATTTGTCAACGCAACGCCCGACCTCACACGGCAAGACTGACAATGTCCTTTTTGAGGAACCACGACATCCATGTAGTGTCGTGGCCCTCAATGACTCCCGATCTAAACCCATCCAACATTTATGGGATGGTTTTGATAACCGTCTGCCTTCACGTCACCAACAGTCACGGCATCTCCAACATTTGGCAGAAGCGCAGGAGTGTGGGTGAACATTCCCCAGGACACAATCCGTAATCTGATTGGAGCGATGGTGCCTGGCAGTTCTGGATATGGGGGCCACACAAGATATTTAAAGAGATGATCATCACCTTGACATTGTTTACTGCTTCGGGTGTGATCTGATGATCTGCCTAGACAGGGTATAATGATCATCACACACCATGCGGTCTTCTGGTAACCTGAGATGTAATGTGAGATTAGACAGGCATACATTGTGTCTTGCACTAGAAAACTGAAACCCATTCTCCAGTGCCCATTTATCAATTCTGTTTTATTTATGCACTTGCGTGATACATATACAGACAGAATCAACATGTTGTCACCCGTCCATGTGATCCTTTAAGACATTAACAATGTTATTTTGTCACTGAACAAAGTGGCTGATAAATTGTTTGCTTGTTGTTTTACGCCGCACTTAGCAATGTTCCAGCTATATGGCGGCGTTCTGCAAATAATCGAGTCTGGATCAGACAATCAAGTTAGCAACAGCATCGATCCATGTGTCAACCAAGTAAGCGAGGCTGACCACCTGATCCGTTTAGTCACCTCTTACAAGCATTGGTTGCTGACGACCAATTCTACCCCGGATCTTCACGGGGTTTAAGGACCGTTAACGATGGAACGAACACATATTTACATCTGCCACTGGAACAGATTCTGTCCCAGATCTATCAATAGCATCTTCAACCAAATATAAGGTGAGGTGAGGTGAAATTGGGTTTAACGTCGTGCTTGAGAATATTTCGCTCATATGACGACGTGCATGCGTGTGTATGTGTATGTGCGGCTGCGTGGACTAGCCCAAACTGAAGCTGGTTTTATAGTGCTAGCCCACTGAGATACCATGCCGCAGTGAAGCATGAATACCCCACTCAGACACATTATACTGACTCCGAGCCGACCAGTCCTTGTTGTACCCATTAATGCCGAGCTCCAGACAGGAACCAACAAGTACCATATATTAACGTCTTTTGGTATGACGCGGTCGGGGATCGAGCCCGCGACCTTCTGCACTCCGGGCGGACGCTCTAACCACTACACCACGGAGGCGGTCACCAAATATAAGGAATTTCAACGGTCCATGATGACTTTTCTGAATGTGTCCTTGTTGAAATTACGGAGAAATATGGCATTTCTACAGGCTGTAGAAATTTACTGAAAGGGTTGCGATTGTTCAGTTTCGAAACATATTCCTCCAACTATCTTCCTCCAACTATCTGATGTTGAATGTCCTCGCCACTTACATATGGGCAGTGCGGTAGCCTAGTGTTTAAAGCCTTCGCTCGTCAGCCGAAGACCCGGGTTTTATGCCCCACATGGTTACAATGTGTGAAGCCCATTTCTGGTGTCCCCCACCGAGATATAGCTGGATTATTGCTCAGAGCGACGTAAAACCAAACGTACTCACTCACTGTTGTTGCAAACAAAGCAGATCACCCAACTGGGTATTGACAAACTTCATGAAACTTTAGGTATTCCCACTAGGGTAGTCAATCAGGACAGAATTGGTCATACATTTCTTCCGCGTGAATATTTAATGTAAAGGGAGGATACTCCATTCTGTGACCTTTGTGAGTGAGTGAGTGAGTGAGTGAGATCGCATCGGCAATATTTCACGTGTGTCCTTTGTGATAATAAAATCAGTCAAGCACGTTTGGCCTGACTGTGTTGTATTTTCCCACACATTGAATATCGATTATCAATCATCTTCTCCAGTCATCAAAGGGGGTTAAAGTATCGTAAACCTATTGTCGTCCTGAGAGGGTACGTAAGTCCCAAAACTTGCAATGTCAATTTAGCTCAACCATGCTTTTTCGACGTAGAATATTTGTTAGTTTAAATTATGGCTAAATTTCCCCGCCATCGCCAGCGGCTGAGGGGATGGTGTAAATCCAGCTTGGGTCCATGCAGGTAGCAAAGGCTCTGTAAGTCCCCATGGCCCCCTAGTATGGTGATCTACCTTCATTTACTGGCGATCCATAGCCCATTTTTATATTGTAATGTCCTAAGTAGTATATACTCTTAAGTCACATGCTGGTTTTAAATCTCTAACTGTGATATTCTAGTGCCTTTACTATCATTCGCCGACAGATTTTAAGATATAACATTATACATTATTTAAAAAATATAACCCTTTTTAGTCACGTTATGGCTGAAATATTGCCAAAGTGTTTATAAATTTTAACTCACTCATCTTCTCCAGGGGATCTTATTAATTTGTTTGTTCCTGTTCTTGCTAAAGAAATAGGGGGAGAATAAAAAAAAGCCGATTGAGCGGAATACGCCTAGCTTTTCCAGAACATCTGCCGATGTCGTGTGCGAACATTTTATGTTTCTACGATGTCGGTTGTGAATCATAAATACACACATATATTAAGTGTTTAGCTGAGAATTCCTGTGAATTATGAAATGGATTTGTCGATCTTGTTTTATCCTGGTGACACGTGTTTTCGCTCGGATAAGACATAAATGCATATAAAATTAAAACAACACATCCTATTACAAAAATATTATGCCTACCTGTTTAGATAATCATTTCTTTTAATTACCAGTCGCAATCAGCAAAGTTCACGCTCCCAAAGTTTTTATCGATCGCCTCGGAATTCCACTGTCGGCCATACTGCATACTGACGTCTTATGTTTCCGCTCGCCTCATTGGTGGACTATTTTTATCGCTGCTGCCTCATATATGGTGCTCTCGTGCTGTCACCGACACAAAGGGAAAATGAAAGTCAATGATGATCAAATATTATTGGAAAGTTGAATAAATGTAAAATGTCTAGAAATTCACAACATATTCTGTACATTTGATATTTGAACATTTGATATTTGAACATGACGCTGGAATATTGCTACTCCTCCGGTTCGTCATGACAAGGACACCAAAACTCTGAAAGTCTCCGCACAGATCTTACAGGTGTGCAATACTTCAAGTGGGTCCAGTGCTGACATGTCGGGTGTGTACACTGCGCCAAGGTTACAAACACCAAAGATACACAATGCTTGACTTCTTCTGGTTGCCACTTCTTGCATTTACAGCAGAGGTCACTGGGGTCATCGAATTGTGATTCTTCACTGCTCATGGAGTCATGATCTGAAACTCTGTTATTTGTCACAATGCCAGAGGTGCAAGGAATTGGGGACTGTGAAATGGTTTTCCGTCGAGTGGTTGAAGTCGCTTTATTCTTTGGTGTGACTTTTCTAGGCCTGGATTTCGTCTGCTGCGTTCCTTGATGTTCGACGATTTTTGCCATAACATTATATTCAGTGATAGCTTTTCCCCCTACTACAGAGCTTTGAACTTTCCGTTTCTTGGTCAAAACTTGTTCCGCATTTCGGAAGAAATCGACACATCCACTGCTGCTGTCGTCAATATTATCGTCAGTGATAACTGGAGAAGGACTGACTGATGATGATTCAACATCCAGCATGGAGCTGAAAACAGTTGATGGAAGAAATACGTTGCGCTTTACTGCGTTCCTGTCAAAGGGATATTCCACTTTTCCTGAACGACGACTGAAAATTCGCCGGTGTAAGCGCTGCACAATAAGCCTTACATGCAATCTCACAAACAGAATATCGGTCGATCCCAGATGTTGCATGTTCACGCATGAACTTGTGTCGCATGCCGTTGTAAATTTTCTCAAACGGACCAAAACATTCAATGTCCATAGGCTGCAAGACATGTGATGTGTGAGCAGGCAATACAAAAGAATTATGTGTCGCTCCCGTGTCCACTTGATCAATGACAGTGATACATGAGACTTGTGACCATCGTACAAAACTAGGACTGGATTGTCCGGCGTTGGTGGTAGAGCAGATTTGATGAAATGAGTTTCAAGGTACTTCTGGACAATTTCTGTGTTCTACCATCCAGATTCACTTACACTTCCTGTAGTACCGGCAGAACTGCCAGTCAGCAATTCTTCACGCATTCGCTGTCCTTTAAAGACAAAACAAGGCGGTAATGCCATGCCGAGGGCGTTTCTACAGCCTATAACAGAAGTTGTATTTGATCTGGGTGTTGTCACAGCCACGGGGACATCGGTGCGTGATGAAACTACATGAGGTGGAGTGTGATTCTGTACAATGCCCTTTTCATCAATGTTGTAGATAGACTGAGGTCGATTTTTCAAGTTGTACTTGTCCAATATGGTGTCAAGCTCATCAAAATATTTGCTGATGGTCTCCTCTGATGTTGCTTTGGCTCGCATAATTTCCAGAGAACGTGGTTTCTGAACCTTAAGTTCCGGCCATCGCTTCACAAAGCTGTAAAACCATTGGAGAGAGAGGGGGTTTTCATCCCTGTTTTTTTTCCCTAGGCAAACTGCAAGATCCGTAGCCAAATATGTAACCTCCGTACGTGTGTAGCCGTATCCTAAGAAAGACATCATCTTAATGTGAGTGACCAGTTTCTGCTCTTCTTCCTGAGATAATAAGGCATCGGGTCGCGATCGTACACATTCCAAGTCAACTTTGCCCCTAATCCGATCACGCAATGTAGAATACGGCACTGAAAATGTTCTAGATGCACTTTTGATACCTTCCCATTTCACTACTGCCTCGTACGCATTTTCCATTGCCTCCAAGGAATATCGCCTGTAAGTGGCCTTTCCAGCATTGACAACAGCCTAAAAAGAAAAAAAACAGCCATGATTCCTGATTTAGATTCACCCAAAACGTCAAGAGAGCAAAAAAAACTGATATAAGACATTACCCAACTGATCTTCCATAGATTTTATTTTTTAGCGAGGGTCACGTGATTGTCATGTGACTTTTTGATATCCGAGAATCCTTCTTAGCAGACGACTGACTGACTGACTGACTGACTGACTGAGTTCGGTTTTACGCCGCTTTTAGCAATATTCCAGCAACATTACGGCGGGGGACACCAGAAATGGGCTTCACACATTGTACCCATGTGGTGATTCGAACCCGGGTCTTCGGCGTCACGAGCCAACGCTTTAACCACTGGGCTACCCCACCGCCCTTCTTAGCAGACGAAACATCGATGACATTTTAGAAGCACGAATACGCTTATAATTGGTATTATTCAAAGTGGTAAGTTTTGCATTTGTGATCCTGGATTAAAATACTTATGTTTCCAATTTTTTTAGAATAACTTACGTTTTGTAACTTGATTCGCAGCATTTTGTCATCGGAGCGAGAGCAGGGACTGCATTGTTGACAAACACAGTGGTGAAGACGTCATATCTCCTAAACTCACGTAATAATTGTGATGTAAAATGGCCGAGCAGAAACACATGACGAGCGAAAACATGTGACGGTAGGATGAACATCTGCTCTTGAATGTTCCAGATGCGTGTCCACCTGGCTACGTCCACAACCGCCACCTCAACATCTGCTACCAGCTTCATCTCAACAAAATGAAATACAGCGACGGTCTTGCTGACTGTACGGCAAGAGGAGAACACCTTGTTGTTATTGACAGCGAGGACAAGCAGAACCACATGGTCAAGCAGATCACATCTTCATCAGGTTCGTAAAGGTGCCTTCATATCTTAAGTCAGTCAGTCAGTGAGTATGGTTTTACGCCGCTTTTAGCAATATTCGAGCAATACCAGGGCGGGGGAAACTAGAATGGGGTTACACATTGTACCCATGTGGGGAATCGAATCCGGGTCTTCGGCGTATCGAGCGGATGCTTTACCCACTAGGCCTCCCCGCTGCTCCTAATATCAATACTAGTATATTTCTGATCGCAGTTGAACTGATGTATAGCATTCTGGCGGCGCATTATATGGAAATTCCATTTGACCTCAATGGTTTCAAAGAATGACTGAAATGCTGGATTTCTATCGATCATATTATCTACATACATTTAAATGTATTCATACCGAATGTCACTTAACATAATAATACTTGAAAGTACTCCATTGAAATATCAATGTAGGTTTGGAGCATTCTCGTTTTGACATTTCTCTGTGCGTACAATTGTTCCTCAGCTTAACAAACAACAATGTTATAAAGTCCAGCATGCTTTCCATTCAAATCGGGGCGGTGGGGTAGCCAAGTGGTTAAAGCGTCGTTCGTCACGCCGAAGACCCGGGTTCGATTCCGCACATAGGTGAAATGTGTGAAGTCCATTTCTGGTGTCCCCCGCCGTGATATTGCTGGAATACTGCTAATAACATTTCGGCGTAAAAATAAACTCACTCACTCTAGTCAAATCAAAATGAATGTGTGTGTTGACTTCTTTGCCATTCCTGATAAAGGGACCCCGATACTTGGATGGAACATTCTAGTATCGATACTCGCAACAGGCCATGCCCGGACTTATGGGGAACCAGAGAAACGAGGCTTTAGGAAGGCAGCTTGTTGGCGCTAGATTACGCTAATGGTTGCCAATGCCAGTGTGAATCTCAGGTTACAGCAACGATACCATTGCTCGTCAGCGCCAGGACCGACTATGTAGCGTCAGAGTGAGTGAGTTTGTTTTACGCCGCTTTTAGCAATATTCCAGCAATATCACGGCGGGGGACACCACAAATAAGCTTCACACATTGTGCCCATGTGGGGAAACGAACCCGAGTCTTCAGCGTGACGAGCGAACGCCTTAACCACTAGGCTACCCCACCGCCCGGCAATATTACAGCCATATAGAAATGAAAATGTGTCTCATTTTCTTACCTTTTCTGGTGATTTTGTTAGTGAGAACGTTTTACACCATTACTTGACATGCGGTAATCATAACTGTAAAGTTTAATCTCAATCCCACCTCTCAATATCTGTTCATAAGCAAGAGTAACTCAAAATGCCTTTTGAAACTTTCAGCAAGTCAAAGATTCAGCTACTTCATCGATGGTTCCGATGCGCAAACTGAAGGCCAATGGATCTTCCATGATGGCCGACCTATGACCTACTTCGCCTGGAGCCCAGGCTTCCCGGAAAATAAAACGGTAAATTTCGACGTCCTCACTGCCAGCAAAATAATTCCTGAATATATATATACGTGGCAAGACAGGAGCCCGATAGAAAGAAAGTTCTACATCTGTCAGAAAGACCTTTAACACCCGGAACACAAAATGAAATTACTGGAAGTACTAAAGTATTTCTAACAGTCAACACAAGGACATTCCTCTAAACCTCATCGGGCACCAGATACATGGGATGAATCCGTATGTGACGTTACACGTGACTATCACGTGACAATGCACCAAACGCTGTGATCCTTGTACAAATGTCCTATGTTATTTTATGTGTAATTTAAAACAAACTGTTTACAAACTTACTGTATTCATAAATTTGTTGTAAAAACGTCCGAAACGTTATTAAACTATATATATATATATATATATATATATAGAACGAAACATGTTGGAGAAAACGACATTCTGTTTTTATTTATCTATGCAATATTTATGACTGAACACCTGTACTACTTTGGACATTTTGTGCGTATATACATATAGATATATATATCTTTCTTTCATTTTTGTTTTGTTTCCATGAATACAGGTTTCGAGTACATGTATAGTTATATGTGAGTATACAATGCTGATACATCAAATATTTGTATATTTTGCATATCAAATTTCAAAGGTTAACAATTGCCATTCTTGATCAAATAGTGCAGGAATAGAGGAAATCATTTACAAATTGAGAATTTATCAAAAACATTGTTTCTTTTGGGTATAAATATTTCAAACATGAAAATCTTTATAATCTTTATCAAGTTTTTTAATTTTGGAATTACTTTTTCCAGTATTATATGATAAAGTAGTGGTTAAGTACCAAACCAAACGTGACATTTTGTCAGTGGCATATGTTTTGATTAATCCAAATTTGAAGTTCATTCCAATTTTTTTTGTTTCCTCACATTCCCAAAATACATGACATACGTTTTCATCAGCCTCATTACAGAAAGTACATATTAAATTATCAACCAGTTTCATCTTTACATCTTATATCTATATATCTTTTGATGTGGTTGTACATGGACACTATGGAAATGTTGCATGATACCTGTAGTGCTGCAAGTATACAATGGATGTTGAGGAATATGCCAAGTGCGCAATATATATTGCACATATATACAAAGACACACTGGCTTCCAGGAAATGATACAGATGCTGCATACTGATGCATGTACACAAGTAGCTGGACCTCTGACAACCTGAAACCAACAAGCATCTTAAGTTCAATAAAAAATGCGCATAGCCCACGATTGTCCTTTGAAATGGTCAATTTCCTTTTCTTGTTTCAATAGGAAAGCTACAAAACAATTCTGTGTTAGTTTGTTATATCGCATCACTCAGCAATGATCTAGCCGTTCGAGAACAACCTATACATATTCGAGTGCAGATATTCCAGAGATTATATTCTGAGAATCGATTTGCGCTTTCGGGTTACAGTGACAATCAAATCGTGCACGTCACCCAGAAAGATCCAGAAAGTGGCCTCTTAAGAGCAGCAGAGGCTGCTGGGTACTTGCTTCCCAAACCTGTACCTTGGTCATTTGTGTTAAAGAGACAGAGGACTATTGTCGATATACTTGGAATACCTGAGAACCAGTTCATGGCTTTATTCCCTAGACCAGAGTACATAATATAGGCATGGAAGGTAGGAATTTCTATTTATTTATGTATTTATTTATTTATCTCTTCCATGTCAATAAGCTGAATTGTTGTATGGGCTTTGGGGGAAAGGGTAATGATAGAATAAAAGAAGAATGGTGGCTTAACTTTGGCCAGAAATAAATCGTTCTGACTCACATCGAAAATATATCAATTTGTCGGCCGTTACATTTCAACAGCATGAGCATCGATCTACGCAACTGGTATACGATGACGTCTGTGAGTCTAGTCCAAAGATATATCACACCAAAACTGGCATTATGGGATAAACAGCAAGTTTCCTCGTCACTACGACATTCAAGTTTTCACTGGAAAGAGAATCATGCTGAACACCAATTCTGCAACTGAAACATATTCTGTCCCAGATCGCCCACTCATGTACCATGTGTGAAGCCCATTTCTGGTGTCACCCGCCGTGATATTGCTGGAATATTGCTAAAAGGGGCATAAAACCTAACTCACTCGATCACTCACTCTGTCCCAGATCTGGCAATATCGTATTCAATCAAATACAATGAATTATAACGGTCCATGATGACCTTTCTGGGTGTGACAAATCTCCGACCTTAATTACGGCTTTAAACACCACCAGTGAACCACCTTCATCAGGATGGAATTTTTGCCAACGCGGATTGGTCAATATTTCAGATCAACTGAACTGAAAAATTTAAATCAGATATTTTCAAGGATTTTCCTGACCCAATTTAGTTCTTATCTGGCAAACAGAAACATAGCATATAACTGGCGAACGTTTGAACACAATAAACGTCACAAGTGGGAAAAACTACGTTTTCCAACATATACTCACGCATATCTATTTCAAAGGTGTGGGACATGGTTAAAAACATCAAAGACAAAGGTTCGAAATATAGTATTCATCTACTCAAATATTAAAATCATTTATTAACTGAAAAATTTAAAATTTAAAATAATTTGGTCGAAGATAGACATTCGTCGTCATCAAATTTCAGAAATAACTAGAGAGGACAAACGTGAATTCAGATAATGGTAATGGGGTTCGAACAGCCATATTGCCAGAACGTTCGGCTGTACAAGGCAGGCCATCATCAGACTAATGAGACGCGTTACCCAGACTGCCCAGGCATGTGACCGTCCCAGAACACGGAGAGTGACAAACCCGGCAAGATGACCATCAACTATGCAGCTGGATGATCACAGTGACGTCATCAGCATCAACGTTCGTTGGGTCACCGCATCAACATTAAGACGATGAGGCGACTGCGTGGTGTCGGCATCCAGGCCTATTAATCAGTATAAGCCATGTCCTGAATCCATTGACAGGGTGTGGTGTTTTGACGCACTCGCAATGTTTGTGACTTGTAAACACTTTTCAGTGATGAATTTTTAAAAATATAATGCCAAAGCATCGGGCGTGTACTTTCTTTTGTCAGTTTATATTATGATTCCATAACATATGCCGGAGCTTTCAAACGTAATTTAGGGAAATTAGATACTATACACCATGGAGAACTGAAGCTAAGTCTTGGAGCGTTTAAACCATCTCGGAAAAAAGTTTGATAGGTTGATGTGTCTTCGTTCAAACAACATCGATTAAAGGTATCACTTTAGAATATAACTAAATCACGTTCAAACCTATTATATTCAGTCAATAACTGTGTCTTTCATCCTCTTAATGAACGACTGATTTGATACAAGGGGTTGAAGTTAAGAGTGTCCCAAATGGCAGAACCAATCACTATACATCTTGTTGGCCAAAAGTCTGTAACTGTAGGAGACACATCCCCATCAGATTACAAAGCCTTGATGTGTCGACATTTGCTGACCTTTTTTTCCAAACCAGAATTAACGTTTTGATATATGACAGTTATAATATGGTTCCAAGCCCCATCGCCCCACCCCACCATCGACACGTAAACAGTCATGAAAAGTTGTTGCCACTAAGTGGTGAGGCTCGTTGTGCCCATACATTATTCTTGAAGAAACATAGAAGTCAGTTTTTCTGTGTTGCTAGATAGACCCATGAGCCATCGCTTTCTGGCATAGGAATAGAATATTTTCAGAATGAAGAGTGTTCAGTTTCATGATTTATTTTCATAATTTGATGTGATATTTATAAATGGAGATTTTACATGCATTAGGCATGGGATGGCATGGCATGGCATGGCCAGCCGATTGATCGCTTGGTTTGTTTTCAGTTTTGGAGCTTCATGACGGTGGTCTGTCACACAGGATATTATGGTTTCAGGTCTTTATCTAGGTACGGTATCTAGATCAATTTCCGACTCTCGCTACTACTTATTTTGCCTGTCATGTAGATATATGCATTCAAAGATTCGTAAATCAATGACTGGTTCCACGACTGATGTTGACATTGTCGTATAGGTTTTGCGGGTCATTGTTGTTACATACGATAAAGGCATCTCAGTAAACACACATTTCTGCTGAAGGAAGAGTCTATTGGACGATTCTGACTATATCGTGGGCATGTGTTTATGGTTCGCTAACAAAGACGCCAGCTCATTGATCAGAGTAAGTGCATATGTCTAAATTTGAAAACAATCAATAAAACATGCAAAGACTCCAGGGTGATTAATCAGTTCTTTCCTTAATCTCATACAGCAGTGCTGAAAGCCACTGTTTGTTTGAGAGCAACTGTTTGTTTTAGAGCAACTGTTTGTTCTACACATCCGTCTCCGACTTCGTGTAAACAACCTGAAAAAGATAATGTGTCAGTTCGAAATTACTCAGTGGTTTTGAATAAATGGCACAATTGAGCTTGTGAGAAAAAATTCATTTTATTCCTTTTCTATATGTTTTGTCATGAGTTGTCTGTTTAAAATCCTCATGAGTTTTTTGTTTGAAATGCTAAATAGTATTAAACCCAGGTGACATTGTTTTATTGTTGACTCAAATGACGGTCCCCAGTATTTCGGCAATGACTAAAGATGCACTAATTCCTGACTGTCTTAGCAATATGTTAAGTGACTGAAGAGTACCTAGTGTCAAATATTGGTTTATTTTGCCATATTTTGTGTATTTCATTCAGCACCGCGTGGCCACGTTTTCTCGCATTGTGTCTGCATGAAATACCCATCTCAGGTTTAACATATGTTCTATATGGGATTACACTTTCTCAGTAAAGTACCAATTTTAGTACTTTTACTGGTTTGAGTAAACCTCGACAGATGTCAAATTTGCGAAGAAATAGGAATCGATTATTTTCAAACGGTTGAAGCGAAAACATGAGCATGCATTATGTGAATGATGCATATTAACTGTTAAATTTGTTGTGATGTTTACTTCTGTTGACCCGAGATAGCTTTTGACAGACTTGAGTCCAATTGCTTTGGCTCGAGATATTTTAAATAATAAGGCGATGTGGAGCATATTGAAGCAAATGGAAACGGGAGAGTTGGTAATAAACTGCGGGACGACTGAACAACTATATTTAGCAGTGACTTCAGCATAAATCCGTGACGTTCTTGTCAAGAATTCTGTCCAAAAGAGTCTTCGTGAATCTAAGGAAGTTATTTACAATGCTGACACAGATGTAAACGTGGATGAGATAGTTGAGCAATTGAAGGGTCAAACTTGATCAACGACTTATGCAGGGAAAAGAAAAGGAGATTACTACTTCAATCCTTACTTTTTCAAGCCCACATTTGCCTCATCGACTGAGGATGTATTATCAGTCCTTTCGAGTGCGTTTGTATATCCCATCAGCTATTA